GTCATCTCCCTGGTGCCAAGCTCAACGAAAGTGACCACAGCCACTGCTTTGTTTCTGCGGGCTGGAAGGCGGCAACAAAAGAAAAGCGGTGGCTGTGGTCGTTTTCACGCGCGCCCCGTAAAATCACACCATTATGCGACGCGCGCCCCGCTGTGCGACGGTGTGCTTGCGCAGCTCCCTGGGCACCCTGGGTTGAAGTCTGGCCTGTCCCCCCAACAGGGGGATTTTCGACGAAAATAAAAAATAGTCCCCCCCCAAAAAAAATAGTCCAAACATAGTCCGGGGACTATTTTTTGACTATTTTTTGACCTTTTGGGGGCATTGTTGGGGTATTTCATATTTTTCGTCGAAGCTGCCCGTGTAGGGGGACAGGCCCGACTTACTCCTGGGTGGCTCTCCCGCTGGAGTTCCAACCAACTCCACCGCGCGAGCCTGCCACGCATCGCGCTCTCTTCGGTGCACCGCCCCGAAGGGCTAAATGATCTGCAGGGCCGCCTCCCCGCGGCCGCGCCGCGCAGCTGCCACAGCGCCGGCTTTTGAGCACTCGCCATCGCCCGGACGTCCGTTCCTCGTGTATTTTTCGATTTCATGATCAAGGATGGTCCTCGATGGCCGTCGCCGAGAGAAAAAACGCACACGTCCGAGCGATGCCAAGAGCGAGGAACACCCGAGGCCGAGCCTGAAGGCCACTTGTAGGTCGGGCATGTCCCTCTACAGGCGGATTTTGGAATGACCATAGAACATACTCGAACATCTTCAAGAAATCAGCAACAAAAATACTCACGAATCGTCCCCAGGCTATGTTCCATCCATCTTTGAATATCCTCCCTGTAGAAGACAAGCCCGACTTCAGGCCACCTCCACTTTGATCGCCGCGATGGCGGCCAAGCCGTCTGCCTGGCAGGAACCAGGAGAGGACTGACGACCCCTTCTGTGCAATGCGCCCCTTGGGCCGCTGGAGCAAGGGGCTCCCAACTTCGCGCTTCGCGCTGCGCGAAGTACGAATAACTTCGCGCTCTCGCTCTGCCTCCAAGGGGGAGAAAACGAGGATGAGGAATCGGAGCCGAACCGCGAAGCGCGAATAACTTCGCGCCCTCGAGGGCGCACTTGTGAGATTCTGCGGACAAGAAGCCTCTTGAGACCCCCCAGGAGCCTCTAGAGAAGCAGAGCGGGAGACGGGACCGGGCGGCGGTGGGGAAGATCCATGGAGGGAAGGCGGTGAGCATCTTTACTTCGATCAGAAAACTGAGCAGGGCGACCGCGAGGGCAGGAGGGGAAGAAACGGCGCGAGCAGGCGCAAATGGGAGGGGGGGATGCAGAGGAAAACGGGTCGAGGGGGGAAGGAACGGAGTGCGAGTGAGGAGATGGGGAATGATTTGAAGACGCTAGCTTTCTCGAATACGGTGCGGCTCACGCAGGGGGCCCACTTCACGTGGGGGTGCTTGCAGAGACCCGAGCGAACACACACGGCGAACACGTCGACGGTTGGCGAAGCGAGCCCGGGCCTCGCCACACCAGACCAGGCAACCAAACCCAGACCGCCGACATATGGAACATCAGTTTCAGTATACAGTCGGGGCGTCGACCTAAGGAACCCTAAATAAGGAACGAGGCCCCTTTTTCCCATAGGTTAAACTTCGATTTCCGATCGAAAACATAAGGAAACCATGAGGCAAGCTCTGAAACACTTAAGGAACGCGGAGCCCCTCCCCAACGAAAAGGGTTCCTTCTTCAGGGCCCCGACTGTACGTCGATAGTTGCGTTCTTCCACCACGACGACGGCGATGGCGGCGGCAGCGGCGGCGACGCCCACGACGACGAGCGCACCACACAATGACGCCGCCGTTGCCGAAGACCACTCTGTTACACGCACGAGTGACCGTAGGCAAGAGAGACCTTTGGTGCGCGGCTTCGCGGCGGTTGCGGGGCGCGGCGTTAGACCAAAGCCGAGCGCACGAGCTGCCACTGAGGAAACCAGGAGGGGCTCATACCGCTACTCCCCAGACCTCTCCCGGGGTGCGTTCTGACCAAGATTTCAAAGCGAATGCAACGGTGGCGGCGAGAACCTCCAAGGAGGCCCAAAAACGGGAAAATCAGGGAACCGTAGCGGTACGGGTATCTTTTCCTGCTCTGAGCCACTACCGCACCGCATGCAACCATCCGGGCACCCCAGTGGGCATGCACCAAAAGTCACACTGGCGAAGGCTCCCACGTGGTAGCCGAACCGACAACGCCTCGGCGACGACGGCCGCTGGCATGCCCGACATGGGCACGGACAAAAAACTGGGCAGGATGGCCAACAGCCAAGAGGTGACGTCTGCCTCGAATGGGCAGCGCACGTGGCGACGTCGACGGCGAACCCTGCGCAGAATGGGAAGGAACCATCACACAATCGAAGAATAAGGACGCACGATAAGGATGCAAGGGTCTTGGCACGTTATGTCGACAATTTGAGAGCGGGGTGCGGCCATCGAAAGCGGCCAAGGATCGGCCGAAGGGGAAGGATGCAAGGGCGGGAGATCGATCATCCTTACTGTGCGGGTTGACTGTAATCTGTACTGTTGGCCTTCCTTCCTATTCTTTCCGTCATTACCCATGTCTCAGAGGAAGGCCAGTTGACACAACAGCGGCTCCCCCGACTGGCCAAGATATCCGATCAACAACGGTCTGCGGACCCCTCCTGGGGCCCATCCCGACCTCTTTTCGGGGATGGACAGACCCCCCTTTAGTACAACGTGGTTTGGTGAACACGACCTGAGGCCCAAACCTGGCGGGCGCAAGCCTGGAAAACAACGACCACGGCGCCCTCTCGAGCACCGAAAACGGACAATTCACGAATCGACGTGTCACTGTTGGGGGTTCTGTCCACCCCCTCCTCCCCCTCCCCCTCCTCCTGCTCCTCCTCCTCCTCCTCCTCCTCCTCCTCCTCCTCCTCCTCCTCCTCCTCCTCCTCCTCCCCCCCCTTAGAGGCCCCCTTAGAAGCCCAAAAACGCACGACATGCGCCAGGGAGGGCCGCCGCCGTCTCGACCGGCCGCTCCCGAAGGCGCCGACGGCGCCGGCGCCGGCGCGCAGACCGACGGCGGCGGCCAGCGGCACGCAGCGCAGGACACGCGCGCCAGCTGCCCCTCGGGCACACACAGACCAGGGGGACGTAAGACCTGGGTGCAGGGGACTCGGAGATCCCCGACGAGGTCGTCAAAAAGTGACGAGGCCGAGCCCGCATTTTGACGAGGCCTCCCGCTGCAGACATCCCACGAAACTCCTCCTCGTCAGAATCCGAGGCGCGGTCGTCAAAAAACGATGGCGAACCCGAACCCTGGCAAACCCGGGTCTTACGCTCCCCCGAACTGACTGGGGTGAACGCAAATCTGGGTCAGTCGGGCTTTGCAGAATCCGGCAAGATCCTGCAGGGTCCTGCGCGCTAGCTAACCCTTGTCAGTGCAGCCCGGGTTCTGCAAGACCCTGCAAGATCCGGCGCCCTGACTGACCCCCGTTCTGGGGGGAGACGACAAGGCATCGATACCGCTACCCTTAGGTCGGGCGGGTCCCCCTATATTCGGATTTTTGACGAAAAATTGAACATTTTCCATAAATGCACGAAATGCTTCCAAATACTCCGAAAATCGTCCCGACACTATTCTTTTGACTATTTCTTGGAATATTCCCCCTGTAGAGGGACAGGCCCGGCTTAACCCCAGATCCCTCCTGGGGTGCATTCTGACCAGGATGTCGCAGCGAATACAACGCTGGCGATGACGACGACGTCTTGGCTTTTTCAATACGTTGGACCTCTGGGTTTGCCACCGAACACGCCGTCCGGGGGCCCCCGAGACGCGCGCGCTGCCCACCCGTCCGGCAGGCCTCCGCCCGGCCCCCCGCATGGCCCATCGCCCGTCCGCGCAGCGGTGTTGGGACCTCGGAGGCCCCAGTCACCCGAAACCTCCCCGGAGAACGTTTCTTTTTGTGTTTTTTTTTACAGCCGCAGGCGGAAGCGCCAGCGGCAGGCGGTCACGGTCGGGCTGCGGCCGCGACTAGGGAGCGGGCGCGCTCCCCGGAGAACGACCCAAGTCCCAAAGAAATCGTCCCCACACTATTCTTTTGACTATTTTTTGGAACATTCCCCCTGTAGAGGGACAGGCCCGGCTCAACCCCAGACCCCTGCATTCTGACCAGGATTTCGAAGCGAATCCAGCGCTGGCGACGACGGCATCGCAGGAGGCCCAACAGGGAGAGAACGACGGAAAGGCAGCAGTATGGGTACCTTTTCATCCTCTGACGTCTGCACTGGCCCCCGCCCCCTGAGCCCCCGAACGCGGCACAGGAGGCGCGCGGAGGCCCCCCGTCGCCGCAACGGTGTTGGGGCCTCGAGGCCCCAGTCCCAAAACCGTGCGGTGACCCCGCATCTCCACCGACTCGCCTCACGGCGCGAGCCTCCCATGCCACCTTGTCGGCTCTTGCGAATCGACGCTCCTCGGCGCTAGATCGACGCTAAGCGACTCTAAATCGACGCCAACAAACGCTACATCGGCGCTGTCCCATGGACTCCAGACGCTCATCGACGCGAAAGACAGCATCGAGAAGGTATACCGAAACATCCAGAAACTCGTCAGCGCTAAATCTCGGGAGCGGCCAAGAAGGGGGTGTCCAAGAGGGGGGGTGCAAATCATGACCGGCGGCATGTGCGCGGCCCAGCGGGGGGGCCAGGGACGCAATGAAAGAAGAAGAGGCGCCATGAAATCTGGGGAAATATCATGGCCCACGCCATGATATCCACCCCCCCCTAGTCATCACCCCCCTCTTTTCCCCCCCCGAATAGGGAGCCCACAAAGGACGTACGCGCCCAGCTATGCACATGAACACGGCCCCTCGATTCGCGAGACCGGCCGCGTGATACGAACATTTGTGCAATGCGTGCTCTCGAAACCAGCGTGGATTCATGTACATGTACGTCCTTCTTTCGCTCCTGACCGAAAATCGACGCGCGCGCCGGCCACCCGTCCTGCGGGCGTCCGCCCGGTCCCTGTCGCTCTCCCGCGGGGCCGGCGCCGCCCGCAGCGAGGGCGCCGAGGCGCGCCGGGCGTCCTGCGGCGCCGGGTGCTGCCAGAAGTGCCCATGGGCCGGGCCCCCCAGGAGTCTCGGGTTTGAGCATTCCCTCTGTTGAGGGACAGGCCCAACTCAGTGCTAAACGTGCACCTGGGCCGGGGTGCCCCCCAGGACTCTCGGGTTTGAGCATTCCCTCTGTTGAGGGACAGGCCCGACTCAGTGCTAAACGTGCACCTGGGCCAGGGTGCCCCCAGGATTCTCGGGTTTGAATATTCCCTCTGTTGAGGGACAGGCCAGACTTAATGCTAAAAGTGCACCTGGGCCGGGGTGCCCCCAGGACTCTCGGGTTTGAGCATTCCCCCTGTAGAGGGACAGGTCCGGCTTAATGCTAGAATTGCCCCTGGGCCAGGGTGCCCCCGGGATTCCTGGGGTAGCCTCAGGTCGGGCCTGTTCCCCCACAGGCGGATGTTTGGACAAACAATCATGAATATTAGAAAAATGCGACAAACAACAAAAATAGTGAACAAATTGTCTCCAGACTGTTTTTGTTTTATAACTATTTTTGAATTTTCCCCCTGTAGAGGGACAGGCCCGACTTACTGCTAGAAGTGCCCCTGAGCCAGGGTGTCGGGTCGGGCGAAAGGGGGGGATAGCAAAGGGGGGGTTTGAGAATCAGCTCACGTAGCTGATTTTCCCAGCGCCTCCCGGCGCCGGAGGCGGCTATGTATCGAGGAATGGGCCCCTCGGTGAGGCCGAAACCAGCTGCATGCAGCAAATTTCGTAACCCCCCCTTTCCCAATCCCCCTCTTTCGCCCGGCTCGAGGGTGCCCCCTGGAGTCTCGGGGCCCCAGGGGCTCCAAATGGGAGCGAAAAGCTGGGGGCACCTTCTGGCCATCGCTCGGACGTCCACTCCCTGTGCTTCCTTTCGGCTTCCTGCGTGGCCTCTTCGCCCAATGATCAAGGATGCTCCTCGACGGTCCTCGCCGAAGGAAAAAGGCACACGCCCGAGCGATGCCAAGACTTCTAGCAGCACCCGATGCGGGAGCGGTGCGGCGCGCGCGGAAGGGTCGCTTGGGCGCCCGAGTTATCCGGGGTAACTCGGGTCCGGGGTAACTCGGGTTCGGGTTCCCGAAAAAGCGAACCCGAGTTATCCCTGACCCGAATTACCCCTGATGATTCGGGGCTCTGGGCGCCCGAGTTATCCGGGGTAACTCGGGTCCGGGATAACTCGGGTTCGGAATCCCGAAAAACGAACCCGAGTTAGCCCTGACCCGAGTTACCCCTGATGATTCGGGGCTCTGAGTCGCCGTCGTAGCCCCGGGGATCCAGGGGGGCACCGCGCCATCTGCGGCCTCCGTCCGGGGCCCCTCGCTGGGCCTCGAGCCGTCGAGCATCGATCGACCACACGCAGGAGCGACCCTGGGCAAGAGTGACCTCTGTAGAGGCCTCCTGGATGGGGTCGGAGTAGATGGGGTCGGAGGATCGCGCCGCATCGCCGATACATCGGCGATGCATCGGCGATGCATCGGCGATGCATCGGCGATGCACCAGCGATGCATCGTCGAAGTGGGCGATGCATCGGCGACGTCGACGTGAAGCAAATCGGGCTACACATCGAGCCGCATCGACGATGCATCGGCGATGCGGCGTGATTCTCCGACCCCATCTACTTGGACCCCATTTGGGAGGTCTAGACTCTGGTGCGCGGCTTCTTGGGGGCCGCGGGGGGGAACAAACACGGGTTCGCGAGACGCTACTATTGCACCGCGTTCGGCGATCGGGGGGCCCCAACGGGCCCGCACCAGAGGTCACTCCGGCGAAGGGTCACTCCTTACGTTTAGTCGAATCGACTTGGGATGGAAGACCGCTTCCGGGGAATGGGCGGAGATCTCTGGGGGCAGACGCTGTGCACAAATCCTGCTGACGGGGGTCTGGGGGACGTCGTCGTGGTCGTGGTGATCGTCGCGGTCGTGGTGGTCGCGGCCGCACGCCTTCGACGCGGCGACTTCTCGGACGGGTGGCAATGTGGGGGGTGACCCGAGTGAGGGGCGAAGACAAAGGGCCCCTTCAGAGCCGCTTTCTTCAGCCCAAGCACACTCGGGGCGTTGACCTAAGGAACCCTAAATAAGGAACGAGGCCCCTTTTTTTCCATAAGTGAAACTTCGATTCCCCATCGAAAGCCTAAGGACAACATGAGGCAAACTGCGAAACAATTCAGGAACACGCAGCCCCTCCCCAACGAAAAGGGCTCCTTGTTCAGCGCCCCGACTGTAAGGTCACCCGCCCAAGTCTCAAATCTGAGCGTCGTTTCCCAGCGTCGGCCTACCCCTGGCCATCGCACGGACGTCCATTCCCTGTGTTTTTGTTCGGTTTCGTGCGTGGTGATCTTCCCCAAATGATCAAGGATGCTCCTCGAAGGTCCTCGCCGAGGAAAAAACGCACACGTCCGAGCGATGCCAAGACCCTGGGGCCATCAGAAATGGATCCCGTGCGAAAAACTTGCCACGGGACCTCGGGGCCGCGCACTGAAACTGTCACATCGGCAGAGCGTGGTCGTCTCGGTGGTGGTCGTCGTGGTGGCGGCCGTCGTTGTCCTGATCATGGTTGTCGTCGTGGTCGTGGTCGTGGTCGTGGTCGTGTTCCGTGGTTCGTCGCCCTCGTCGTCCCTCCTCCTCATCGGCCTCCGCATCCTGCCAAATCTCGCCGTCTTCAATATCATGTTCCGGTTCCTCCTTCCCCTGCTCCCACTCGGCCTGCTCTTCCGCCTCATCCTCGTCCTCCTCCTACTCCAGCTCCTTGGCCTTTGGGGTGGGGGGTGGGTGGGCAACAGGAGGCAGAATTACGATTATTCATGGTAAGATGTATGAGATGAAGTCAGAATTACGATAGGAACGTGGGAGGGGATAATCAAGTTTGGTCTCCTCGCCTGCTCTGGCAATTGAACCACATTCAATCCCGTGGATAAATGCTTTATTATCCATGGGTGGGGATTACATCGGCTCTCTGGCGGCAGTTCCAGACGATCCGGCCGTACCACAAACGCTCCCAGCGTGGCGCAACTGCTAGCGAGCATCCCGAGGCAGGGAAACCGCAAAGGAGCCGACGAAAAACCCGAAGACCTCAAGCCTCGAACCTGAGCCCTGCCCGCCTTCACAGTGCCTCTGCGGACGTCGCCCAACAAGTCACGCCAGGCGCCCACTAGGCGGTAAGGGGGGAGGGGGGAAGCCTTTGCAAAAAGGGAGGCTGCTCCTTAGGAGGCGCGGGCCCTGCCTGCAGATGTAGGGCTAGCGCCTCCTGAGAAGCAGCCTCCTCCTGGGAGGCTTCCCCCCTCCCCCGTCGGCTCGTGGGTAGCCTATGGCCCCCTCCCCCGCCGCCTCCTCCTGGGAAGCCTCCCCCTCCTGGGAAGCCTCCCCCCCTCCCCCCCTCCCCTAGAAAGCCCCCCCCCCCCCCCTCCCTGGCCATCGCTCGGACGTCCATTCCCTGGGTTTTCCGGTTTCGTGCGTGGTTCTTTCCCAAAATAATCAAGGATGCTCCTCGATGGTCCTCGCCGAAGGAGAAAGGAGAAATGCACACGTCCGAGCGATGCCAAGCTCCCCCTGGGAAGCCTCCTCCTCGAGGAGGCCTCCCCCACTCCCCCGATCGGCGCCCAGGGGATCCTGCGGGCGGCTCGGCGCCGGGAGCCCGGCGCTGGCGGCCGGGCGCACCCCGTCCACCTGGCGGGCCCCGGGTATCTTGGCCTGGGCGGCGGGGGCGGGGGTCGAGCAGCGGAGCTCGCCGGGGAGTGGGCAGCACGGTCGGGGATGGACAGACCTCCCTTTAGTAAAATGTGGTTTGGTGAAAACGACCTGAGGCCCGAGCCTGGAGAATAACGGCGGCGGCGCCCTCTCGAGAACCGAAAACGGACAATTCACTAATCGACGTGTCACCGTTGGGGGTTCTGTCCACCCCCGACACAGGCGAAGCTCGGAGGCGAGCGATGGGGGGGGAAGCGAGAACAGGGCTGAACCTGAACGGTGTTTTTCGTTGTCGTTTCGCGTTTGTTTACCTTCGCTTGTGACTCGGATCCGCCTCTGCCGCAGAACGCAGCCGCATCGAAAACGGCCCACGGACTCACCAAAAACACCGTTTAGGTCCATTCCCTGGATTCCCTCTCGGAAGACGGCGGGACTCAGAAGCCCTCCGGCCTTCTGAACAGTTCTCTGCCCCCTGGCTCGCCGCCGAAGAACTGATAGCAAGGATGCGCGATAAGGATGCACGTCCCCTGACGCCCATGCCGAAGCTCTTCGAGCGGGGCTGACCATTGGAAGGGGCTCAGGATGAAATGAGGAGGCAAGGATGCAAGGGTACCCTGAGGGAGGTTACCCATCCTTAATATCGATTCCGACTGTAAAGCAGCAGCGATCGAGTCGTTTGTTTGATGCGCGCCGTATGAGGAGAATGGGCGCAAGACATCATCCAACACAAGTGCAAACAGCAAGTCATACTCACGGTCCTGCCTGCAACACATCCCGAAACACCATCCCGAAAACACCATGCCAGCAACGAGAGTGGGGTAGCAACGATAGACTGGCACTTGACGCGCGGCTTGGGGAGGGGGGGCAAAGCACAGCGCACGAGCTGCCACGATCGCAACGCATCAGGCATCGGGGGACCCCAAAGGGTCTGCACCAGAGGCCACCCTGGCGAAGGCTCGCGCCCCGCTCCCGCGTGGTAGCCGGACCATAGACTTGAGGGGATAAGTTACTCCAGATTTCGTAATAAAGGGAGGGGGTCTCATTTCGGGGGGGGGGTCTCTTCCAGGCTATCTTGGAGGGTCTGAAATGGCTTGTCTTGGAGGGTCCAGACCCCCTCCCTTTTATTACGAAATCTGGAGTAAGGGGGAGCCGACTCAGGGGGGGAAGCATCGAGCTGGAACCAGCGACGCATCGCCGATAAGTGGTCGACAGGCCTTGGCCA